GGGGGAAAGAGAGAGAGAGGGAGAGAAAGAGGGAGAGAGAGGGAGGGAGAGAGAGAGAGAGAGAGAGAGAATACCGAGCGTGAGGGAAGTAGACATGAGTGCCTTACTCTAACTGCTCACTGATAACCATTTGGTAGAGAATTACACATAGAAGCACTGATCAAGGCACTGGCTTTACTAAAAATGTCTGTTGTATATGTGTGAGTATGTTAGTGAGTATGGAACTGGTGTTATGTGAAGTTACTGAAGTCTAGTAAGAAAGAAGAGGGAGATGTAGACTCCTCTACTCTACATGTTGTCCTGGTCTTACTCTTACCTTTGTGTTCATCTCCATATTTCAAAACACAACAACCTGGGTTTCATAATGTTATGATAATTAAATATAATTAATATATATGCAAATCTTTTTAACACTGTTCTACTTGTGATACATTTTTAACTATGATTGTTAATGAGAGAGGTGTATGTGAATGGGATGTGAATGCTTGATAGTTGTTTTACACATTATTATTCGGTCCAGATGATGAACTCTTGCATAGCACGTAATGTGGGATTGATGGCTCAGTAGCAGTGAATGGTTCCACTTATGTGTGCGTAATTGTACAATGCAATCCATCGGTAAGTGGAACATTGTTATGTACACAAACTTTATGCTGACATAGAGATGAAGCGAAATAAAATATGAAATTTGTCAAATTGTTCTGTTTTTCTTTGTTGTCGAAGTTAATTCATGATATGTGAGGCAGCGTCATGGAATCAGGCTCTCGTCAAAATAATCAAAATGAGAAACTTGCATTTTTCCGCAGGTTTGTGAATTTCTATTAAATTTTTGTTTTTTTGGCTCAACACCTTTCATGCCCATTAAAGAATTCATTTCTGTGTGGATTTTTCTGATAAACGTTGATTAAAGTTAAAGGCACAGAAAATGTAAATTTTCAGTTACCACAGACTCTTAAGCTAAGGAAATAACTAACTTTTGGCGGCAATTTTCTCACTAATTTTACCTCTGAAAACAGGTGACCCCCACCTCCTTCTTTCGTAAATATCTCGACTTGTATTAAAGATAAATGGATACTTTTTTCATCCAAATAAAGACGAGTGAACAAGCTTTTAGATGATACTAATACCTCTACATGCCCCAAAATTGACGAGAGCCTGATTCTACCACGCTGCCTCACATATGATATTTAAAATGAAAAAAAACACGGGTAGTTGATGTTTTTTCACTTGTCCTAATTGTGTCTTGCATTTACGCCTGCTCCTAGTAGTCCTAGTGGGTGGTTGGCGGGTGCTCTGGTGTGGTTTGCTCCTTCTTTCCTATCAAACATCTATCGTCCTTATCTCCCCTTCTTCTTTTTTTATGTTTGTTACTCTCTTGTAAAACCTCTAATCTTCTGGCACTCCTATGACCTTATGCAGTTGCGAGCGCCGTAAAACCTCTACCAAAAACAATAGTAGTCCTAGGCTCATGGCTTTGGTCAAGAGAGGAGGAAAATTTTATCCTTCAGGGTAGTGCTTGTGGGTGGTTGGCGGGTGCTCTGATGTGGTTTGCTTCTTCTTTCCTATCAAACATCTATCGTCTTTTTTCTCCCCTCCTTTGTTGTGTTGTTTCTCCCTTGTAACACCTCTAACTACGGCACTTATATATGACTGTATTGTGTTGTCACTCCCTTGTAACACCTCTAACTTCGGCACTTATATAAGACTGTATTGTGTTGCAAGTGCCGTAAAACTCTTACTATAAAAATAAAACAGAAATATATTATGTAGGAGGGTAGTACAACAGTTATGGCCTCTTAACGGTGGCAAAAGTGGGCGCTGACTATAAAAAGGTTGACAAGCACTGCTTTAGGACCACGCACGCACGCACGCACGCAC